ATCTCGTAGTCGAGCAGTCTCGACTAGAGCTTTCTTTCTTGTTATTATTATATTTTATGATATTACCAATGGGAAACTCGATTATATTGGGCTGTTCCATATTTCTCAGATATATTCGGCGATCTTTTTTGAATATAATCATAGTTTAAACAACATTGAGTTTAAAGAGTAAAATCAATTGTGCATGGTGTGCTATATATGGAAGTATATTTGTACCGTCGTCATGTAATCCATTTCTAATAAGGCCTATAGGTCATTGTTTTATTGAATCAAATCTAATTTAGGTAAAAACCGATTGTGGTTCAGTTGTCATAATGTTTTATGTGTGTAAACGGCACTTGAACTTGATGGTCTGTCTGCTAATCAGGCATTTTCGACAAGGCTCTACTTGCCTACCTTAATATTATTAATAATATAATAAGATTCGTTTAAGAGTAAATACAGAAAACAAGAAATTTGTTGAAAATTGTCGATACGAACAGCATAAATATATTTGTATATTTTAAATGTCTTTGTTTATATGCGAGATGTTGGTCTACTCGTACATAATTCAAACTAATTTAATTGTAATGAAGTCAATATGGAGGTGGGTAAATAAACGTGTTGCTATAACTGTAATGCATTCGAGTTTGTTTTGCAAAGACAAACACAAACGGAAGCAGAGACAAAGAGTGGGGGAGAGAGAGAAAGAAAGATGTGCAGGGACAGAGAGAGATACATTCATACAGATACAGATGCAGAAAAGACCGCACATTTGGGGGCGTGCAGTTATCCGGCCTCATTATGAGCTTATCGTGGTCGAGTTAATAATGCACTGGCAAGAAGAGGCAGAGCCCGGTGCAAACCAGGCCAAGTCCACAGGCAGGTCCACATTGATGCTTTGCGGCTTTGTGGGCCAATAACTGAATAATTGCGTCAGCAAGTCGTAAATAGCAGCGGGTTGGCCCGGCCAAGTTGCTCGGCTACCAAGTTGGCCAAGTTGGCAGCTCGGTTGGGACTTACAAGGCTCATATATATGTATGTATATAGGATATGCGGGTGGGCGTGGCGTCTGGCATATTTGTAAACACTTACTGGCGAAAATATTTTAATGAAAATGAAATGAAAATTCCGCTTTTGGCCAAAAGAATTTCGTAATTACAGCGAAAAAATTCGGTAATTAAATTCATGAAGTTTTTGGCACTGCGCAGCGAACCGTTTGCAATTTTCAGCTCCCAGGAGAGGACCTCAAGCATCTGTAAGTGGGATCCTTTGCGTGCGTGTGTATATGTGTGTGTGTGTGTGTTCGTCTGACCGCCTTGTTGGTTAAGCATTTTCTTGTGTTTTGTCGGCACTTTTCCGCTAAAGTTATTTTCGCATGGGCTTCGCATCTGCTATAAATCTTGGCGCCGAAGTTTCACTGCTCCACTGCTCCACAGTCCGGACTGTGGTGTGGTGTGGTGGTGTGGCATGGTGAGGTGGGGGCGGATAAAGATGGAGCCACGCAGCCTAAGCTGACTTGGCTATTTCGTTCAGCGTATTCCGGATTGGACGCAATTTTAAAAGTCCTGTCAATAATAATTCAGCTCCTCGACTTTTCCTGCTTATGATAATTGTTTATGTTCCGTTTAGTTCTTGCAATTAATCCGACAAGTTTGCTCTCAAACACGCACAGCTCGCCAGCGCTTATCCAATCAGAGATTATA